CGTCTCGAGCCCCACAGCCTGTGAGTCACTGCGGCCAGGAGGAGCTGTTTGGGGCAGGGGGGTTTTGTGATGTCCAGGCTCCCCCCAGGTTGCTCCATGCTGCACTGGAGATGGCATTGGTGGGACCAGGCTCCCTGCTGGTATGGGGCTGCTGGTAAGGCAACTGGCTAATTAATTTTCTCCTAACGATGTGAGCGCTCACTCTGCTGCAGCTGTGACCACTGAGGTAATCAGGGCTGGGGCTGGCTCATGCCAGCTCTCCCCGCTGTTGTGTTTATCGGGGTTGCAAAGCTCCGACTCAGGGCTGGCTTCCTGGGCCTTGGGTGCCGCACGTGCTCCCAGCAGCCTCGGGGTGAAAGCCTCTTGGTCACGGCTCAGTCCTTCCACCGAGGTGCAAAGCAAGCGGTGCAGGAGCCTCCCGGGCACCCTCCTGCCAGGCAGGGCACTTCATGGTCCCGCGTGGCCAGCAGAAAATAAGCAGCTGGCGCAACAGCAGCCAAGCAAGGTAGTCCGTTCCCCATCTGCCCTGTCCAGGGTGTTTGGGGCAAGTGTCCTGGCCCCTAAGTGGGGGATCAGCAAAGGGGTTTCATGCAGATTTGTGGGGAAAGCAGAATTTCTCACGTTTCTCACCCCCCCAACAGACGGGAAGGGTTTCACATCACCACGTGCCACCCCAGGGTGCCGTGTCCTGCAGACATGCGCTCCGGCTGGTGCTGGCCCCCTCGAGGCATCTCCCTGGCTCCGGCACTGCTGCGTGATTTGGGCACGTCTGTGCTGTTTTATGCCTTTTCCTGGTACAGAAGAGCTCGTGCTCAGCACCGTTTCCAGGGCTGCTCGTCTCTGTTCTCGCTCTGCTGTGCCCCGTTGGCTGGCGGTCCCCGTCCCACCTGCAGTGCCACCGAACGAGGCGGTGGCTTTGGCATGCCTCCGGCTCCCCTCTTCGCTCTTCAAGCCTGAGACCTGGCACCCACAGATGCCCGGGGGAGGCCACTTCCTGCTGGCCCAGGCAGGTTGGGTGCTGGGCTGTCCCTCCGCAGAGCCCCGTATCTAATCCGAGCTGTGTCTCGTGCTCGGCTCGTGGCCACCTGCCTATCGGGCTGGAAGGAGCTTCTCGGTCAGGAGACCGAGTTTCTATTCCTGTCTCGCTGCAGCCCTCGCTTTGCGGCGCGCCTGGCCGGTTTCCAGGGCCGCGCTGGGTGCTCGGCACCTCTCGTTTGGCGGTGCGCGCAGCGGGGCACGGCCCAGCTCGCGGAGGCCGCGTGGGGTGGCACGAGTTAGCTCGCTGCCGCGCGGGGGATGCAGGAGGCCCTGAGCGCTGCGAAGGCGAGCCGGCAGCGCTGGCTGCCGGGGCGGGCCCCCCCCAAAAATAATCGCCTTAAATCTTTGCTCTAACGCTGATGAGATGCAGGGGCTGGCTGCTGGCCCCTGAGCCCTGCACTGCCGTGTTTCCCCGAGGTTTACCTGCTTGCTCCCACTGGTTGGGAGCCTCTGCTGCGGTCTCCACGTGGGTGGGAGGGGCCGAGCTGCTGCTGCGGCCCACGTGCGGGCTCCTCGCAGCAGACAGAGCCCGTTCAGCCTCTCTCTGCCGTGCCGGGGACGGGGACAGCAGCGGCATCAGCCCCTCTCCCAGCAGCGAGCCCACAGCAAAGCGCGGCCCAGCCGCATCCTGCCTCCAGCCAGGTATCAAACTGCCAGATCTGTATCTCTGTGTCCCACTTAGCCATGCAGGGGTGTTTGCTCTGCGGCATCCCCAGGTGCATCTGGCAGCTACCGAAAGGGCTCCAGGAACCTCGTCTGCCGTTTGGGGTTTTTCACTTCAGGGCTGAGTTAAGGAGAAAAGAGCAGGCTGGGCTGGCATTGAATCAGCAGCTCTTCCAGTTCTGCTTTTAAGTGAAATGAAGAGCCTTGGTTTGAAATCCCACTGCATGGTCTTATTTGCATTTATACTTAAGCTCTTTTTCCTTGAAGAGGTTGTTTTAATTACTCTTGGTTGGTAACCATAAAAAGGTAATAACTGACAACAAAAGATAATTTCTGCAGTTAATGGAGTACTTTGCTAAGGAAGAGGATATAATTGCTTAAATACATATAGGTTACAGCTTATGCTCTTACTCTTTAAACATTGTATGAATTTTGCATTTGCCTCGATTGTTTGACTTTTTACACTTAGACAGAAATTGGATTCAGTAACTGCACAAAAATAGCATTTTAGAGGGTTTTGTGTGCCTTTTTGAACGTATCAGAGTCGTGATTTGAAATGCATTCTTTACGAAGTAGATGTAAATGAAGTGCTAGCTACAGATAGTGACAGTCTGCATGGGAGGACACATTAGCATGAGGCAGTCCTGCTCTCATGGGTTCCTTTTTCTGAACTCCTGGGCGGACTTTCGCACCTCCCTGCGCCCAGCTCTCCTGGGTGTCTGTGCACCTCTTTCAGCAGTGAGTGCCAACTCCAACCTGACGCCCTGCTCGCCCTCAAGAGACTGGTCCGGCCGGGACCCCGCTCCATCTCGCTGCCTTGTTTTCTTCCGGGAAACACCTGGACCATAGGGTGTCTGCTGCGGCAGAGGGTGAGACCAGGCTGGATGGAAGAGCCCCCCCCAGCCAAGGTTTCTTTGCACCCGGCTGAGCCAGCTTGGAGAGGGTGGTCAGGGACGCAGCATGCAGGCTGTGGGGAGACGGGACACCAAAGCTGTTTGTCAGGCAGCATCTTTCCCCGGCTAAACACACCATGGCTCTGCCTCCGATCATGCAAACCTTCCTGTGCAAACCTTCCTCAGCTCTTTGCTTGGCCCCGGCCCCGAAACACAGCAGAGAGCGCCAAGTGGGATGAGCCCCATCTCCTGTGGCGCTGGCTTCCTTCGCCCCTCTCTGTTAGGGCATGTCCACCCCTGTGTCCACCCCAGAGCCGGTGGGAGCTCCGTCAGTGCTATCGGCTGCGCTGGGAGGGGACCGAAGCTGTGGGCTGATCTGGGAGCCCTGTCTTCCCTCCCGGAGCGAGGAACGCTTCCCACCCGTTCCCACCATGACACGGCCTTCCCAGCTGGTTGCATCCGAACTGTCTCGGGGCAGCTCTTTTCCTTCACCTCCCTGTTTCCCAGGCAAAGGTCACTGCAGTCAGTGCTGGCTGATGAGGGCTGCCGCTCCAAAATCCCCCAGCCCTGCTCTAACGTGGCCTGAGACTGCTGGTTCCCACCACCGCCAGGCCAAGCCAAGCAGTGAGCAGGGCCCAGGGGGCAGGAGAGGGGCCGTAGCCAGGGGCTGGCTGGTTCAGCGTTCGGCATAACTGCTATATCAGAGCTCTTGCTCTGAGCTGGTCTGGCTTCTCCACTTGGGTTATGGTCGTCGTTGCTTTTATACAGTGTAAGGGTGACGGGCTTCACCCGCTGCAGCTTTCGTGCAGCTTTCGTGCCTCGAAGGGTCCCAGGGAAGGTGGAGGTAAAGTGTCCGCACCAACTCCTTCCCCTCCGCCTGAGACTGGAGGGGCCTATTCCTGACTGGAGTCGTGTCTGCAGGTGCCCGATGCCCGAGGCAGCGCAACCAGAGCCTCACTGGCATCTGGCGCTGGGAGCAGAGCTCCTCCAGGAAGCCGCCAGTGTAACAAGCTCTGACCCACATCTCTCTAAGTAACCGACAAAGAGCTGACAGGGACAGCGCTGGAAGCTGGGGATCTTCCCAGCTGTTGGACACCAAGGAGGCAGCACAAACCCCAGTGGCTGGACGCTGGGGAGTCATGTCACAGCATGGGGTTTATCGCGTCTCATCCAGCCACAGCTGGCCACTGTGGCTTTGCAGCAGGCTGTGCTCTGCCCTGTGGTGCTGCATAGTTTGCACCAGGGTTGGGTGGGAACGGGTTGCAGTAAGTACCTATTTTGGTGGTAAAACTGTGGAAAACAAAGTTGTGATGCTGCAACAACACTGTAATCTTAATGCAAAGCAAATCTTAATTCAAGACCCACAAAACTGAAGTAAAACTCATTGGTGCTCTTGCTGTCATAGCCACGTGCTTCCAAGCACCAAGATGCATGTATCGGGTATTTCCCCTGGTGCTTTGTGTGGTGACTGTGCTGGCTTTGGATGTATCCTGGGGTGGATGTACCCCTTGTGAAGGGACAGACAGGAGTGGTGCTCTTTTGTCCATCCGTCCCTGAGTGATGACTGTCCTTTGTCTCCTTGTCCATGTTATGGCTCCTGCCTTGTTCTCTATCTTCCCACCATCATCTCTTAATGGCTTGAGTCTTTGTGTTTAGCCTGGCTTAGGCTCTCCCTTTTTTTAGGCTCTCCTTTGTTTCCTGGGATGGGTGTGCTGAGGTGTGCTGGGCTCGAGGACCTGCTAATGTAGGTGCCATCAACCCTGCCCTGCTCCGAGGCTCCGAACCTGCCAATCCGAACACTGCTATTGCAATTCTCTACAAATGGGGTTTTGCACCCTGCAGTGCTGTGTCTGCATGTCCTGCCTTCCTCACGCCAGGCCCAGGCGAGCTGTCACTAAGGCACGAGCCCTTCCAAAACCGTCCCATTATGTTCTCGCAGGATGCAGGGCCAGAGCAGCCTGTCCACCAGGGCAGGAAGAGTTACAGAGGGGAAATATTGCTCCCCTCGGCTCTCCTCACAGGCACAGGGAGCTGTGTGCATAATCCATCCCAGAGCAGGGCCGGGGTGGCCTTGCTGCAGGCAGCCCTCCTGGCAGGGACGCCAGCCCCCGGCACTGGAGAGGTGCCCTGCCGTGGAGGACCCAGCTCTTCCACCTCCCCCAGATTTTCCTTTCCTAGTCAGAAAATGGCACAGCTGGGTCAGAGCTGCTCAGGCCTTCGTGCAAGACAGCTCTCCCCAAATCTTTATGGGGCCCTGATTATAGCTCACCACCCGGGGCTGCTGCCGGGCAGTTATTCCAGGCAGCACGCAGCTGGGCTTGCTGCTGGCCGGGCACCCGGAGCAGGTATTCAGAGGGAGTGGCTGCTGCATCCCCCAGCTATGGAGCTGCTGGGATGTTGCTCAGTGAGCAGCGCCCCAAATAGCAACACTAGAAATGTGAAGAGCTGTGAGCTTCAGCGCCTGATCCCTGGGCATGCAGCGCCCAGCTCTTTTCCTTCCAGGTATTACTATTGCAAGCGTATCCTCCACCTTAGCGCTGTCTCAGAGTTTGCTTTCTGTTTAGAGGCATGTTGCAGCAGGATCCAGGCAAGGCTGAAGGGAGCAGCACTTACACTTTTGGTTGTCGCGTTTAAGTTGCCCCAGCTGAGACTCCTCGAGAGCTCATTCCCTGACCGTTTCGAGTGGCGTTGCCCTGCCGACTTGTGCTTCCCCCGCGCGAGCCCGGGTGGGCCTGGGGCCCCGGCGGGGGAAGCGCATCCTCCTCCTCCTGCTTCCCAGGTCTGAACTCTCCCGCCAGTCCGGGTACTGCAAAGGTCTCCCGAGGGAGATGTATTGTGTCTTTTTTTAGGGCCTGTTAAGTGCTGTAGCTAGAGAAGAGTGTCCCGTCTGAAGAGCTTTTAAAAGCTGCTGAGATTTTCTCAAAGCCTTTGTACTGGAGTGGTCTGCTTTGTCGGCGGATGAATATTTCTTTGTTTCAGCATCTGCCTTGGATGCTCCTCCAGGACAGAGAGAGTGGGCATGAAGATGGATTTTTCCTCAATACCTTTATTTTTTCCTGCAGTTGGTTTGTCATGCCTCAGTGGCTTGGGTAGAAACTTGGGACAGAAATAATCAAAATATTGGCCATGCAATGTTTTTAAATTGCCCAGAGAGTCCATGCTGGTGTGGCTACACTTCTTTGTTTTTTCCTGTTTACGCCCTTCCAAAAGTCTTTGCTCCCAAGATCCGTGTTTGTTAACTGGCAGCATAGGAGCTTTGTGGGTTTCCTCCTCCGGTGCGCTGTCTGGCAGCGGCAGCAGCCCCGGGGGATCCTGGCTCACGGCAGGTCCCTGCGAGGGAGCTGCCCCTGTTTGCTGGAGGCTGAGTCCCTCCCCATTTCTATGACAACAGTCACACTTTATGGTGATGATGTGTTCATAAATAGCTCGTGAAGGCGGCTTCCTGAGCACAACCCCGGCTTCTATACAGTCTTTGTTAGCTGCAGTACTCCCTTACTACCTATTTTACCTTTCTTTCTAGCAGCAAGCCTGCGCTGTTAAGATGGCTAGCAATATATGCTTCACTCTTGCCAGCCGTAGACTTTTTAAACATCAGTTTTCTATAGTTCATTGGGCCAAGGGAGATAGAGGAACTACTTCCACTTTTTCCTCCACTTTTTTTTTTTTTTGGCCCCACTTCTGACTTTTCTTCCCTTTCTCAATGAACCGAGGAAGACTTACCAAAGTTTCTTGCAGAATCATGTCTCAGGTGGCACTTAAAATAAAATCCTCTAAAAAGGTGCCCCAGAGTAGAGGGTGTAGAGACACCGACCCCCAGGACAGGAGCGTGGGGCTTGATGGGGAGGGGGGTAAAGACAGGCTGCTGGAGCAGGCCCTGCCCCAGAGGGACTGGGAGGGCAGAGGGGCTGCCTGAACCCCTTCCCGCGGCTCTGCCTCCCAGTGTGAACCTGTGCTGCGTTTGGAGGTAAGAGGACGGAGAGATTCAGTTCCTGGCCTCCCCCTCTGCTTCTGCCCTCTATGTGGGACCTCTGGCAAACTTTGCAGCATTTCTTGTCTCCCTTTCCTAGGAGAGGGGCAGAAGACAGGAGAAACTTTGGTGACACCATCACCTTTTCTCAGCACAATGCCAGCCTCACACCAGCCCAGCGAAGCTGCTGACCTCAGTCCTCAGACCACCACCGATCCTGAGACAAGCTCAGAGAAAAACATGACTGCTTCAATGACCAATGGCACTGGAGCCCACACTACGGAGGAGGACACCTCCATCTCCACCACCCCCATGGCAGGCACTGAGGCAGAGAGACTGCAGGCTTCCCCCACCGCCAGCCCTGGGGACATCACAGTTACGCACCATGAGCTCCACAACATGAGCGTGTCAGTTAGCAGCAGCACTGAAATCCCCTCCTCTTCCCTGGCTGCCAGTACTCTGGAGGAAAATGCGCCTGGCCACGAAGGCACAGAGCCCTTGAGCACAACGGAGGAAGTGGGTGCAGGCAGTGCAACCCCAACGCCTCCGCTGAGCAGTGTGCCAGGTGAGGTTTTGCTTTTCCCAGCTATGCAGAATGTCCTGCCCCTGGGATGCACAACCTGAACTCACGGCAGTGAATGTCCTTCTGCTCCCCTGAACTCTGCTGGGAGTCAGGGAAGCAGAGGGAAATGAAGAGAGAGGCATTAAGCACGTCCAGTTCAGCTGGGATGACCTGCTGAGATGCTGTTGACTCAGCACCCTCCTTGCAAGCCCCTTCACAGTATGAATTCTGTTGGCTGCTTTCCAGTGAGGAGATTGAATGCGTGCCATGAAGGCCTTTATATCTCTCATATGAACCGAACTCTTTTCTTCCCAGCTACATGTGTGCTGAGCACACAGAGCCAGTGAGCAGCCCCTGCCAATTCAGTGCCCTTGCAGTGTAGCTCGGGAGTACTGCCTGGCCGGGGTGCTGTGCCGCCAGGGTTGGGAGCCTAGCAGGAGCCTTCCCTGATGCCTGCAAAATGGGCAGAGCACCCTCCTTCTATGTCAGATGGAAATCCCTCCACACACGATAGCCAGGCAGCCCAGGGCAGCTCCGTGGCAGGCTCACCCCACCAATGCTGCTGTCCCGTCACTGCCTCCCTTAACACGAAGCATGGAGATGAGGCAGCCGCAAGCGTCAGCTCACCTGTCCCTGGGCTATCGTGGGAACCTGACCTTCGGATCCCCCTGGGCAGCAGAGGGACTGGCTCCGACGGGCCGTGGTCCCTGTTCTCAGCATCCCCTGCCAGGCTGTCACACACCCCTGACGTGAGGCACATATTGACTGACCATTGATTTGCATGGTGTTCATGCAGAACTGCATCCTTCACCCCAGCTCATGTCACGGGGTCTTGCTGCTCTGTGACAAACAGATACAACCTTGGTGGATGCCACTACCCAGTCGTTTTGCTGCCCCGCCTTGTGCTCCCCACAGGAAGACATGAGACATCTCCCAGTCTCTTGCTCTGGGGTGATCTCTAGTTCTCTACACAGTTGCTTGGGGCTTCCCTGCTCATCCTTTGTCCCCAGAGTGGGACAGGATTTGTGAGCCTCATACCACACTACCACACTTGGGGTTTATCCTTTGAAATAACTGGCTGTTCCTATTTACAGCAACGACCAACAGCTCTCAGCTGGGGTCTTCTGACAGCCAGACCATGGGGCCTACAACGACAAGATCTGGGACTACACCAGCGACGAGCTCTGGGGAGAACACTGTGGAGCCCCAAACTGCCTCTGCCCCCTTCTCCACCAACAGGAGCATGTCCTCTGCTATTGCCTCCAGTGCAGTGACAGTGACCCCTGCTGTGACCACCTCCACCACTACCAGCGCAACTGCTGTCACCATCAGCACATCTGCACTACAGCAGCCAGTAGAGTCCATGCATGAGAAAGCTTCTGTGTTGGATGTTGGCGATGATGAAAATCCAGGTAAATGATCTGCTCTTGTCCCTGCTCTCCTAAAATCTGAGGGATACCTCAAATTCCTCTGCTGTGGTGAGGAGGTCTGGAAAAGACAGGGCTCTGCTACTCCAGCTGGCTTTCCTTTGGCCTCATTCCCTTGGTATCTGTTCCTTGCAGAGCTGCCTAGCTCTCCTTTGGCCGAGACAACGAGGGCTGATCCCTTGGTCATTGCAGTGATCTCTGTCTTCATTATCATGGTGGGCATCCTAGGCCTGGTGGGCTTCTTGAGGTATCGCCAGCACAACAGCCGTATGGAGTTTCGGCGCCTGCAGGACCTGCCCATGGTGAGCAATGCCTTCGGCCCAGACTGACACAGTCTGGCTTCCTACAGGCTCTCAGCTGCTTTGCAGTTCCCCTTCTACTAGACTGGCAATGTTTGGGGGAGTTGCAGCAATGAAAATGCTGATCAGAACCCTTGGTCCCTCTGAGGTCCCTCTCCTTCCATCCAGGGTTTGCATCAAGAGAGCAGATCTCAAGGCTGACTGCTGAAGGCTCCCTGCCTTCCCCTCCCTCTGCAGGGGGACACTAAGAGGTTAAATGCAGGGAGGAAGGGGAGCATGCTTCAAACTTCCCCTGAAATGACACCTTCCTACCCCCGCCTATACTCAACTTGCTGGGTGACTATAGCAAAGCAGATCCTGTGCTCTGTTCCAGGGGAGGTTTTCTGTCTGTCTATATTTGACCCTTTGAGATATAAAAAGATGAGGGGTTCAGAGGCTGGAATAGCTCTGGGGAGGCTGCAACTAACTCACTATGCTTTCTGGGATAAGGCATACTGACTCCCTTCTGCAACTGGCAAGGAAGCTTATGCTGTTACAAGCTGAGTAACAACACAGCCGGGGTTTTCTGCATCCTTGCTGCAGGCAGACTTTTCCTGCATAGGGCTCTTTTCGACAAAAGCTGCAGCAGGAGGGAAGAGTAACTGCTCAAAGATCCAAGAATTGCACAAGGACAGCATTTGGGCTAATGGCTGGGCAGACAGATGGCCACACAGTGACAGTGAGGATGGCATGGCTGTGCTGCCTGCACAGCACGCCTCCAGGCTGCTGCTGCGTGCCGTTGTGCGGACAGCCCATTGCAACACATTCTTCTCTCCTTCTAGGATGACATGATGGAGGACACCCCCCTCTCACTCTACAGCTACTAGGCAGCCAGGCTGTCCTCACCTGGCAAGCTGAACTTCCCAGAGGAGAAGGCCTCGAGGACTTGGTCCCAGATGAGCTGCTGAGGAATGAGGGGCTGTGATTTGCACACGACTGAAAGATCCTTTTCAGATGGCTTTTGGTTTTAGACTTCTTTAAATAGTTCAATGTTGAAGTTTTTACGCTGGGAATCAGAGCCCAGGTCTGGCCCTTTCCTCCAGGCTCTCCTCGAAACAATGCCCCAAAGAGGCGCCTTCCCCTTTTAGCGTTGTTGTGGCCAGTTGGCCAAGACAATGTTTGCCAATGTGCTCTCAAAGGGCTCTTCTGCCCCTCCTGGCAGCTGCTGTTTTCAAAGGAAGAGGGCAAGTGATCCACACGAGCTCTTACATAGCTCTTACATTGGTGGTGTCAGCGCAGTGCCAGCAAAGGAGACTGTTGCTTTCCGAGGCACCTGAGGATGGGGAGATCAGTTCTCTTGGGGTCCCTCTTGTTCTGTTTTTTTTTTTTTAATTTTTTTTTCCTTGCACTTTTTTTGTTCCTGTTTCAGCTTTAGTGCTGGGTTTGGCACTGCCCGTCCTAAAAGGCCTGCCAGGAGGATGGCAGACTGCTCTGCTTCCTTCCTACGTGCATACCTTTTATCTTCAACCAGGAAAAACAGTTTTGTGACCACTGGAGAAGTGTCCTTGCTGCCTGATGTTGCTTTGAAATTGCCAGGAGGGAATGAACATAATTTTAGTTTAACAGGGTTTGATAAGGCTCAGTCTACTGCCAATTAGACACGCTAATTTGGTCTCACCAAGATCAGGAGTCTAGGTCTCCCATAGTTGATGCTTGCAGCGTATGCATAAACTCCTTCCCAAGCTCAGTAAATGCTTTAGTCCATTTCCCGCTCTGGATTGACGTATGCCTTTCCCTGAGTACCTCCCATTTTGCTGCTAGCATCTCATTGCTGAAAGCTGTTGTACAAAACTAGTACTGTACTCTCCCTCCTCTGTTAGTGCAAGATCAAAGCTCCTTTACTTTCTAATGTTGGTCTTTCAGGTCAGTTGGTGTCTTGTCACGAGGACAAATCCTGGATGTAGGTGCCTTCCTCCCCTTCCCTTTCTAGGTGTTAGGATAATTAGGTTCTACCCTTTTGCCTCAGAATATCACTGTTGTACACTGCATCCAAGGTGTTGCACCAAGGCTCCTGAGCTCCCTCAAGGAAACCCTTGGGCCAGAGCCTCTGAGTGCAAGTCTGAGGATCTTAGGTGCCCTGGCTTCAGAAAGACCAGATTTGTGCAGGGCAGGACTCCCAAGTGTCGTATGGAAGTCTTCATGTAAGTAATGCCTGCTCCTGTTTTCTAATTCAATTGATGGCAGGTAAAGAGAAACACATGCCCAGCTCCTCTTCTCTAGACTGATTTTTGATGAAGCTGGTTGCTCCCTTAGGATATGGCAAAGGCTAGAGATCTTCTATCACACTGCTCTTACAAACTGCAGTCTCTCCTTTCCCTTTAGTGGCAGCACTCACTGACCCCCCACAAAGGACAGATACCAGGCTCTTGCCTTACTAGCAAAAGTACCTTTTTTTCCAGTGCTGTTATTTATTGCTCATATTAGCACAGAGGAAAGGGAAAGGGGAATTTCCCCAACAGCAAGGCTCAAATTAGTAATCTCTATGAAGCTCAAAGATGAGGCTGCCTGCAGAGCAGAACTGGTCTGGGTCAAATAGATGAACTGGACAAGGCAGCAGTTCTCCCTTCCCGCATTACTTCTTCCAAAGTGGCTGACAAATGACCATAGCATAGTTCTGGTGCAGCTGTTGGCTTTGGGTTTGTGTGTTTACTGTAAGGATGCCCAGTACAATAAGGAAGAAGGGTTGGTTCTCTCCTCCTATTATTTCATGAAAACTAAAAGGCAATTGTCACAGCTCCAAAGCTTTTGTATTAGGCATTGTCTGCACAGAGCAATCTCCCTAGCTACAGACTTGTTTTCCCCTGCTGCAGGGCAGGGTGCTACTGGTTTTTGGCACAAAAAGAGGCAAGTTAGCGGTGGAAAATAGAACTCCATCCTGGCAGGAACTGGTGTAGGCTGGTATAGCTGGAAAGAGTCTCTGCCCACAACCCAAAGGGCAGGGTCTCGTGGTTCTGGTTTCCCATGCATTGCTGTCCAGGGGAAAAGGGTGAGGAAGAAAACTCGCCAAACACCAAAGTGCAACTTTCTTTGTAAAATATGTTAATAGTGGATTTTTTTCTGCAATAAAGTTACAAATGCCAAAGGTTTCCCTGCTCCTCATATTTTCATTGCAGACTTCTAACTGAAAAGCTTTCAGAGACCGCAGTGAATTTTATGATAAACAGCAGTGGTTTGGGGTAAGAAGACTCTCAGTGATAACAGTGAAAAAGCCAGACAGTTACAAACAGCAGCTCTGGAGGGCTCAGGACACCAGCTCCCACTTGTGTTGCTTCTTGCCAGAGTCATTCCCTTTTTATCTCTGGATTTGACTGATTCACTCATATGCAGTCACATCAGATGGAATCTCTCTTACAGAGCTACACTAGACCCAATAATCTAAAATAGACACCCTGACATTCTCCCGCTTTGCCTCTGATTGAAGATTATTTTATTATTCTCATCTGTTGTTAACTGTAATCCCAAACACTATTTACAGAAACATCCTCAAAGCTAGCCTAATCCAAGTCTAAGTAACATCTGTCATGCTTCTTTCTACAGTACAGGGAGAAAAAAAAAAAGCAAACTGAAATAACATTTCTTTTTGCTTAGCTTCATAGCTGGTTTGAACCGTTTCCCCTGGAGCTCAGACCTATAGGGAGGCAAGCACTCATGGCTGGTTTCAAAGACCACCTCTTACTATAGAGGTGATAACATCTCTCCGAGGCTAACAGTCTGTTACAATGCTTCGGTGAAATAGCCCAGCTCATCGTGTCATGGACCCTTTGTGTTACAAGACTTTCTCCTGCAAAAGCAAAACATGGTGGGTCAAACTACTTGGGCATTGGGCTTATAATTACTGAAAAGACTGAAAGTTACTGAAAGAGTTTCCATGAGGACGCTTGAACAGCAAATCCTTGGAAGATCTACAGCAAAAGCTGAGCCAGAAGACTTCTTTGCTGAGCAATCTGAACAATTTCAGGGGTGATCTCTCAAACCTGCAGAGATTTCCATCCTGCCCCAAAGATACAGCCATACAGAACAGAAGAGCTAAGTGATAGAACGATCATGCTACAATTAAGCCAGCCTTGTCAGGTCTGAAGTCAGCATTATGCTGGTTTATGTTAGGGTTTCCTCTATTCTGACCTTCTATTCCATCATGAATGCCCCTCAGAGCTGGTTTTAGCGCTGCTGAACAAAGAGCTGAGCTGCCTTGTTGAGAGCTAGCACAGAGCAGACCTGCATTTGCTGAAGAGGCGGCAGCCAGATAGGCTTCTGCAGGCAGCCACCCTGGGGAGGCATGAGGCTGCTGCCTTTGCCCAGCCAAGTTCTGACCTCCCAACCTGGCAATGCAATCCGTGAGGCTGCCAGGTTTGGAGATGGAGCATGGGACAGTTGTATGGGCTTGTCTTCCCCACGCAGTAAAGCAAACTTTGACAGAGAAGCAGAGTCTGAGTATCACCTGCCTTCTCTACCTTCCTCTTCCCCTCTCCAGGCTCATGTTTGGAGGGAAGGGTGTTTGAGCAACTGAAGATTGACAGTGCTGCTAGAGGTGCTGTACCAAGGGCAGGAATACCTGTACTACGTTCTAGTTCTCTGCCCACTCAGTTGCTTTTCCTGACTCAGTGTGTGTAGTCTAGCTTGGACACTGTGCATCTTCTCCATCACGTCACACTGCAAGCCTACAGATGAGGCTACAGACTCTTCACAGAGGCAGAGAAACTGCCACGAGGAGCACTGAAGCGGACAAAGCAGCACAAGAAAAAGGAAAGACCAACAACCCCACAAGGCGCTCCCATGGATAATAGTACCCCATGCTCATCACCTCCTAAAGCAGAAAGAAAGAGGCATTGCACTGATCCCAGGGAGCAGGACTGCAAAAGCAAGCCAGGGAGGCAGAGCAGTAAACTTTCAGCAATGAAGGCTATGAAATGATGCATAACCCAGGAAGCTTCCAGCCAGTAGCCAAGCAATCTTGTTCTTATTCCCAAAGGAGAAGAGAAAATGCTTACTGTCATTTCCCAGATGCCCAAGAAGGAAACAGGAGGCTGCACACCTCCACATTATTTATACTTAATTTTCTATGACAATATTCAATTCAGTATAAATGTGTATTTGTCATGGGGGCTGGGGAGAGGGGTGTTTTTAAGTGTACCTCTTGAACCTCTGCCAAGGATGTTTCCATCTCATTGCTACCTTTGCTTCACTGCAGTAGCAGAAAGTGAGAAGGATCTTCTCTCCTGTCCTCCCTTCCATCCCCCCCAAAGAAAATAATCGTTTACTTCCCGTCCATAGAACGGCCAAATCTGTGGCCATACTGGTATGTTAGCAAGCGATAAGCAAAACTATAAGACCATGAGTGCTTAACATCCAAGTGTCCATCAGTGCTAGGCCCTTATTTGGGAGGCGTATTCAGAACAAAACAGATGCTTAGTACCAGCGGCTTCTGGCCTCTGAAGATTGGCATCAAGCTCTGCTTTCACTGCTTTTTTAACCCCTAGAACACATGGCCTTCAAACTTCCCATCCTATCACATTTAAATGAGGGCTCTTCCCCAGTTTAGCCCTGAAGGGGACATGTTTACTCTTACTCCTGACAAAAATAAACCTTTACCCAAAGCACAACTTGGAAGTAGTCTTGGAAGGTAAAGCACTTAGACCTGCCCACAAGAGGACCTTTCAACTGTGGCCAGAGATACACAGCGTGCAAACTAGATCCCCTGCCACAGTTTAATCTGCAACACTAGTAAACTTTTACAGGCAATCACTAACTGCTATATGAAGGAAGCACAGCTCTGACCCAAGTACGGACAGGGTGCCAGACAGTATCATAACTTCATAGATTTCTGCATTTTAAGGACAAAAGGGATTAACGTACTCATCTGCATGACAGCCTGCACAGCCTTCCCTGTGCTTCTTCCCACTTCCTGTCTAATAAATACACTTGAAAGACATACTTAGCACAGGTCTGCTTCACGTGCACCAGCAGCTTAACAATGGTTAGCCTCAGTTCCTCTATAATAATTTTTCTTTTGAAAGACCCATCGGCCAAATAACTCCCTGAACCACAAAACCAGCATGATCTTGATCAGACGGGCAATGGTCACAGCTGCAAGAAAATAAGTGTGTGTTTGTTCCTACTGTTCAGCTCCCTCTTTATTTACAGGTAAACCCAATCCCCCACCCACAGTTCAAACAAAGAAAGAACTAAGTTACCAAAAGCATCCTCCCAGTCATAAAACAGGTCTCCCTGTGATGAACTGCCCAGAATTAATATAGCCCTGGAGCAGAAGCCTTTTGCCAATGCTCTTTGAACTATAATGGAACATCTGTTGACAATCTCCCACAGGGTAACTTCTCCCCTCCCCTGTTTTAATCCTCTCTCCTTTAGAAGTACTTTTGTTCTGAAATTAGACACATCAGTTGCCACAGGATGACTCTCAAAGGCTTGAGAGTGTTTCCTTTCACAGTGATCTTTTCTGGGGGCTGTAGAAAGGGGGATAAGCAGTCAGCTTTTTTTTTTTTTTGGTATTTTCTTAAAAACTTGTTCTTATGTCAGAATCACAGAAGATCCGGATGCTAAATTACAGGTTCTGCTTAGAAAAAGACAAGGCTCATGGGTTCTGGAACATGTCTTTCAGCCATATTTAAGCCATCCATTTGATTCTGACTGAGAAGGATTTTACTAGGGACAACTGCAAAATTAGCAAAGTTTTGCTCTGTGTGAATCCTGGCTATTCCTTCTGATCACAGAGGGGGAAGATCGAGCCACTAATCTGATCAGTGTTTACATTTTGCTACTGAAAAGATTGGGGGCAGGATAAGAATTCTCACCTCCTTTTTTAAAGGATCTCAAGACTTGTAGGTTGTAGGCAATCATGCAAAATCTTATTTGTGGATGGCTAGCAGAAAGGGAACCTATCTTTTCAAAAAGGGCTGTGAGAAGTACTGGGAAAACAGTCCCTGTTGTTTTACAGAGCCTAACCATAAGAAAACCCTGGTGGCCCACATTGAGTGATAGAGATTTGTTCCCTCACATACTGCTCAGTCTTCTTCTTGGATGCACCAAGCCACATTCCAGCCCAGCTTCAGTCAGGCCATGCCACCCAAGCAGGCTTTTATATCCCAACCATGACCTGGCAATGGCTGTTCACACATTCAGGTCCTCCCTAAGAGGCAGAGCTGAACTCTGGAAAGCAGCTGTTCCTCAGAGAGAGGAAACTAATTGATCTCAGACTGATCTTCAAAGCAATAGCCACAGCTCATGCAGCTGAATGAGATGAAGGTCACAGGAGCAGCCTCTGCCACTGTGTAGTCTTGATCAGTGTTCGAGGCCACTTGGTGGTTATTACTGCTGCTCTCAGATTTGCACCACCAGACAATCTCTGTCTGCTTTACAAACCAGTCCTAGCCAAGCTCTTGTATGCCCCCTTTACAGTAGCCCAGACTCTGCCACATCCCAGTGTCCTCTGTATTGACCGAGAAGCAAGCAGAAAAGGGAACGCCAAAGAACTATCTCCTGCACCATCCCATCTGCTAGACTGCAAAGCCTTCGCCATCATATAGGCCATTCTCCCCTCTCCCCCTTTTCTAAGGCTTTTTGAAATCAGTACCATTCATTCACCTCTTCCTTCACCAGCCAGTGACTCTAAAATTAAGTTGCTCTCAGAGGAAACTGTCTAAGAAAAAGTTCAAACCATGTTACAAAATTTCCAAAGGTGACTTTCTGCTACTACAGCCAGTTTCTTCTTATACAAGAAAACACAAATCTGATCGGCTCCCCTGTATGGTGATTGCAGGAGTCTGTTCGAAGAACAAGGTTTCTTAGCCTATTTTGTGCCCCAGAAGAGGAAGCAATTTAGCAACACCTAGCAAGTCAGCTGCTCCATATTAGGTCTTTTCAGACAGAGCAGACTTCGGATCAGTCCCTATCTGTTCTGTTCCTGCTATGGACAGCCTCCCCAAATGGGACAACCTAAGCCCAGCTATGCATCCCAGAGTTTTAGCTAACCAAGAGTTTAAACAAGACCCAACATAACCCCAAACTTGCAATAGATTTTGAGAAAAAATGTCTGAAGTCATCCGTAGAGACAACAGACAAAACAGTCTCAACTTGTTCTGGTCTAGCAAGTACAGGCTCAGAAGCCAGGATCATACATCCCATCCCATGACAAGGTAGAAGGCTGAAGCAAAAGGCTGCAGCTAGAAACTCTATGAGTTTAGAGAGACTCCCAGTTGCAGATAAGCACCACAGCATCTCTCACTTTGCAAGGTGACAGGCAAAGGCAAAAGCTGATCAAGGCACCACAAATCATGCCCTCCACCACTAGCTATCACCTGGGATCAAAGAGGAGGATATACAGAGCTGTGCTTTAAATGTGTACTGTGTAGGCCTAAGGAAGACAGCATGAGATGATAGCCAACAGTTTAGGTCTCAGGCAGAGCACGGGAGACTGGATAGGTCTGTGAACAACTGATATCAAAATGACTATTTCCCTTCCTGGAATTGCCTCCCTTGGATCAGTCCCATATCTTATAGCTCCCTGTTCTGGTAAATCCAGGTGACCAACCAAATCCAGAAGAAGAATTTGCCCTCCCAGTGAAGTCAGTACCTTTTCCACCTTTTATTTGCTCCCTATGGTAAATGGGCTTCCTTTGGCTGAGCATTAAAGGTCACTCAGATGGAGTTCAGGCAGACTGTCAGACAGCTCACTGCTGAGGTCATCGTCTGCATCCAGCATATTTCCAGCCTCTTCTCCAGCATTACTCTCCTCCAGCTCAAAACACAGCGTGGAGATATCTTTCGGCTCTACAGCAACAGAAAAAGGAATTAGCTTTCTCCAGATCCCTTATCCCGTGTGCCAGTTTGAAGGATGAGTGGCAGCTTATGTCTAGCCCCTCCAGCATTGCTGATTCAGTGTGGACTGCAGGGGATATCGAACTCCAATAACAAACATCCTCATTCATCTTCTACTGAAGCAGAGACATACAAGCAAGCATCCTCCAAATAAAAATAGGTGCCAGCATAAATGAATCATGGTCCTAAGTGTCCTAGCAAGCTGCCAATGCAGCTAATGGGTGCCCCTGCTATAGTATCAGTCAGGGTTTCTGATGCTACTATGATATAAATATTTCCTATTAATACCAAGTAAAAGGTAACTAGGTTACTCTTATTAAATGAGGAATACTGCTCGATACACAGCCTCGACAATCAAACGTTAAGAGTCCATACCTGGCACGTGCCCCAGAATAAATACTAAAGAGGAGAACTTAACCCCTTCATGGGGTACAGAGGTTGCTTAGGCAATGTCCTAACAATAACCTGACATGTTACAACGGCATCTACAAAGCAGTTAATTGTAGCAGGTTTGCTAGTAAAGTCTGAATCAACAGGATTAACCAACTGGAAAAACAGAACACAAGGCAGTTTAATATGCCTTACAGCCCCCATTCACAAAAGAATCTTAAGCGCCTTACTAAAGTAGGACATGAATTTCTTTTAAAGAAACATTAACCCCTTTGTTCCTGATTTTCCCCCTTCTTAATACAAACACAAAGGGGTTTTATATCCTTAAAAGTAAAGCACAAATCTGAAAGGATAGAGGTTGGGACATGAACCTTCTTGAAGTCAGCAGTTTTCACCTTCCTAGCCAGTGAGCCATCTCACTGGCTGTGTGTCAGCACCAAAACAAAAATGGAGCCCCATTAAAAAGTGGTATCTTGGCACTGTCAGGGGAAGTGTTAAGTATCATAATTGGCCCTCACGTGCAGTTTTGTATTACCCTGACATTAGATGGGGAGGGAGGATGAAAGAACAGACAGGCATACACATGTTACCCCTGTTCTTGGAATAGCAATAGTACTCTCAGAGCAAAGTTTTAGCCATGGCCCAAGTGTTAGGCCACTACTCCAAATCGCACTGCCCTCCCCTCTTTAGATGGCTAATATTCACCTCTACCAGGAAAACTGAACATAGCAAGTACCTCTAATCAATTTATCAGCATGACCTCTGGAGTGCCCTCAATGGTGCATGTAAACAGGTTCTCCAGACCTCTACTACAATCTGCATTCCTGTGGAAAACCCAGCTAGGCTCTTCAGACCCTAAGGGCACAGGAATTGGCCACACTTCACTCACCTTCAGGCACCTTGATCTCTATGATGCTGGAAAGCTCATCAGAGCTCAAGTCTTTGAGGCTGAGCTCTGAAGAGGAGTCTTCACCTGAGGATGGAGAAAAACCCTCTGCTTCTCTCAGCAAGCTCTTGCTTCTCTCTAGAGCAAATGAAGCAAGCATCAGGGTAGGTCAAAATTTCATAGATGAAGTTGCTGAACCTAAGCCTTCACTGTCTACATTTTGTGATACCTCTTACCACTTGGGGAAACTGCCGCTATTGTGATGTAACGGCATTTTACTCCTTCTTGCACGAGTACAATTGATGGCACAAGGCAGCAGACAACAGGTCCCAGGGTACACAAAGCTAGGCAGGAGAACACATTGGCAAAAAACGTTCAGGCACTGGATTTCACCTGTCTTTGGCACCAACGGCTCTACAGTCAACTCCAAATCAGCAGGATTATAACACAGAGGCTGGGCCAGCACATTTCTGCTCAAAGCCACAGTCACAAGCCCAAAACCTTCCACAACAGGAGGCAGTCTATTCTGGAAAGGGGAAACAGGACACCGGACCAGACCATGAGATCTCTAAAACAAGGGGAGGCTAGAAGACCATGTCCAGAGCATTAGTAACATAGGAGCTATTCCTCACTTACTCCAATGAATTCTGTCCTTCTCTATAGGCTCAGCAGATAGCATCTCCTTCAAGAACAGACTTTTCACTTGCTCTTTCAGGTCAGCGACTGTAGATCTGTTTGAAGCAAAAGGATAACACTAACAGTTCCATGAGCTTAGCAATGCCTGCTAGAATAGCAACAATTATTGGGGGAGGAGGGGGGGAGAAATAAGGTGGGAACAACTTTGACAGGGTTTCTGACAAATTCATGCCACACAGCAAGAGAAGGCAGTCCTGCCGAGTAACTCAGTTGTGCTTTCAGCAGACGAAGCGTCTGGCAGCAGAATCTCTGCCTCCCTGCCTCACCCTGTTCTAGTTGTTATCTCTGTTGCGCCAGCACAAGTCTTTTTGCAGCAGCACTGTGAAACACACCAGGACTCTGATCCCACTTTAAAAAAATACAATGATGCACTTGTTAGAACCGGCTCAGCTCCGTGATTGGATTTACAACATTGTCACACCAACAACTGTGGTGGCAGAAACTCAGGAGGCAGCGTGCTGCGGGGCCAGTGCAGGAAAGAACAGAGGAGTGGGACTATTTTAAACTGATATTGACAGCACAGACCCATCTCATGAAATCACAGCTTGACAGTAAGTGGAAGAGGCACTATAATAGGAGAAGGCCTGAGGCTTTCACAGAAAGGAACAGAGAATCAATATTTAATTACAGAACTGCAACAAAGTTCCACTATTGGAAATGTCTCACCAAGTTGATACAATATCCTTTATCAAAGAAAACTTAATAACAGTGCTATGCTGACCTCCACGCTCCGTTTCCACCAATACTTGTCCACTAATATAGACAGACATTAATATGCTTATGGGCAAGAGGGAGAAGGAGATCAGAAGAGCAGACAAGGAATTAAGATACCCTTTAACTCCATTTCAGTTACCAATTGCCACAAGATTTCAAACAATTTGCGTGACCATTTCCGTCAGGTTCCTGCCTAATGTAGGGCAATAAACCTTTAAAAGGAACAGAAAAAGATTTCAAGAGCTTTGGATAGAAAATAGAAGGAAAATCTCTTACGTTATACTCAGGACAACAGCAGGGCTTGGTGATACTCATTTGCTGTTCTGGAGAACACAGGGAATGAAAAGCCCTTTCTGTATACATACTTTACGAGCAGACCAAAGCATGCTGTGGCACATGTGACAAAAAACAAGCATTAGCCTGAGGGAGATGAATGAGAGTGCTTTTTTTTTTTTTTTTTCCCCTAAGGAAAACCATACCTGGAACACCCCAAAGATGCATCTCTGCCTTCCCCCAGAGGACTGGAAAGAGTTGGGGACAGTGACATGAATCCCCAGTTAAACTTATGACAGTTAGGACATCTGGCAGCTGTCCCAGGGCAGCTGGGGTTGGACAGAAAAGGATACAATTAAAGCAGAGCCAAAAAGATCTAAGGATCTTCAACAGGGAAGCTCAGACGTCACTCTCTTCTCTCCAGGGAACAGGTCAGAGCCCTCGGGGGGGGGGGGGGGGGGAAGCAAGGGCCGAGCTTAGCAGAGGTTACAGGCACAAGCACAGCTAGTTCCCACCAGTGGAGTGTGGTGAGAAAGACAAATGAGGGGGGCTGGGGAAGTTGGGAAAGAATTAGAGTTCAGGCAACTCAAGTGAGCACCTCTTCTTGGAGAAGCTACAGGCAGAAGGAAATGTCAGTTATTATTTCCATCGTTTCAGCATGAAGCAAGTAAGCTACTGTCTAAATAGCAACCAGAAGAGCACATGGAGTCTGCCACTGCCCTGACAGAGGGCTTGGGTAGGAGACAGCAGCACTCCTAATTAAACAAGGTGGAGGAGACGGCTCAGGGAAACAGTAATATAGATCCTTTCAGCTCAGCTCCAAGGGCAGCCTAGAAGGGAACAGCAGGTACTCATTCACAACACCCACACACAATAAGCTGAAGGTGCTAACTGTCAGGGTACAAACAACGCCATCAGTAACAGATGCTGCTATTTCACCCCCTCCAGTAGCTGTCTCAGAGGCACTGAACACCTTGCCTGCACTTAGCCAGAGGTTCTCTCCAGGACAGGGCAAACACTTGAGCTATACCTGCTTCAAGCTTTGCCAGTTCAGGATTTAAACAGAAGACCTGACCTCACAAAACTGACAGTCTACTGCCTTCAGCATTAGTAAAGACAGCACCATTCTAGCCAGGGAGATGAACTGCACCCCACAACACAACACACATTCCATATCCAGGCAGGTACAAAGGGCAGCATATGGGAAGCTGGCAAACAAGAACGGTAAGATGAGACATCAGTCTCTGGCATCTCTAAGCTTGCCAATACGAGCCCTGTGAGACCTAGCTGAAAAGTGACAGCTGTTTCCCCCCAGGGCTCTGAAAAGCAATCAGCCAGTGGCACCCTCCTGTGACCAGGTATCCCTTGGGAACCCAAGAGCTGCACTTGCTCCTGCAGCAGTTCTCATGTGGCATGCACAGAGCTAGGCATCCCCAAAACTGTGCAGAGGTGCATGCCCTCTACCTGATGTGGCTGAGCTCTTGCTGGGTGCTCTTCATTTCCATTCTAGGTTGGTCTAAACTGTAGGACTGCGTTTTGTGGTTGCTCAACAGATCTTCCAACACCTATGAGAAAGATGAGACAATCACTTCCAAGAATTCCCCAGAGGTAGCTTCTAATTCAACACAACACCATTCAACCCCGCAGAAAAGTCTTGTCCAGAGGAGGCTGGAACAACTGAGGAAAGTAGAGAGCTGGACATATTATATGTCCCCCTTGGTGAACATGTCACTTTTCCAGCAGCAAGCGTAATGCTCTGTTTCTTTGCAATCTTCTTGGTTCAAAATATGATGGCACCCTACTTGGCATCCTCTCTAATCTCATCTTCAGGCTAGCCCTTCTCAACAGGGATTCAAGTTTTGCGATAGATAGAGTGGCAGTGTTTTGCCCACAGTGCTCATCTTACTTTATAGAGAATTTGAGAGCATGTGTCCACCTTCCCTTGGGAAGCAAATTACAAGCCCTGGCTGTGCAAGTATTCTCCTGTAGCAGGAGGTTTCCAAAAACACTGTAACATGCTGTTTGATACAAAGAACACAATCCAATTGTTAGCTCTACTCTCATTTCAACCCCTACCACTCAGCTCTGTCCATTCAATACTCTTCCCATCAAGTCTTTTCTGATTCTCCCTTTTGCCAACAGTCATCCACTTTTGCAACGACTAAAAAAATCACCTCCTTCATCCCAGCTGCAGCAGATCCTGCCATATCAGAATACATGCACAGTCTCATTTTCTTCCAGTTATACATGTTTTGAAGATACCTTTCTAACTGTTCTCCACCACTGGAAGAGAAAAGCCTCTTCTTGCTGTTTCAGCAAGCCTCTGAAACAGGAAACGTGCCCATACAGCACCTTGCACACAGGTTCTTTTGGTCAAGGCCAACTATAAAGCAGCATACCGTGCAGTATCGACTTTGAGTTCTCTTAATTTCATTAGCTGCAGACATCTGGTTCAATAGTTCTTCCTCTTGTTGATCTGTGTAGTAAAACAGCTTGACGTCACAGAGAGAGAAAAATGGCTAAGCTACATCCTACATCTGATTTTCCATCCCTCTATTGACAGGCAAAACCTTTCAGAAGGGAGAGCTCTGGGCGGATATTCAAGGCAAAGGATGGATTCAGAGGTTGCAGGCAAGCCCAATGCACGTTCTCCTCCCACAGCTCTCCCATGGCACAGCATGGAGTCACAGCTAGCCAGCCCTGTGTACCCTACTTTATTTCTGCTCCATCACTACCTGTTCACCAGTATCCCCAGTTTCGTGCTTCTGAACAGAGATCCTCAACTATAACAAACATTACAGCGCTTCCCTGTAATGGAATTGGGCCTGCTTCTGCGAGGCTACTTGGGCAGTAACAGGTTGTCCTGCTCAGGATCAGAGTTCAGACCACTGCAAGGAGCAGAGCACAACAACACTCACTGACTTTATGCTTCAGTTGCTCCAGCTCTTTCCTCATGGAGACATAATCTTGCCGCAGTAGTTTTTCACTGCTTAAAGAAAGGGAAGAAGTTAAATTTTTTCTTCCTGTACTTCCCCTGCATCAGCCCTGAACTTGCAAAGGTCTTAGCACTGACCTCTCTTTCATTTCTTGAGGACTGCTGAAATGGGGATGTAGACGGGATTCACAGTCTCCATGGGGCTGATGAAACACTTTCTGTGGCTGTTTACGGTGTTCGCTCTTCAGCTCATCTATCCTCCTTAGCAAGGTCTCCAAGTTACTGTACAAGCTGTTCTGCAGTCGTTGAACATCCTCTGTAACAGCAAATGAGAAAAGCAGGAGGTGTCAAGGTCTCAACTTTCAGTTGCTGGGACAGAAGGGATAAGAACAGGATCAAACAACAAGGGTTATAGCAAAGGACTTATCACAAGGATATCTGAATTTAGATCAAGCTTGGTCATGGCCCTCCAAGAAATCACTTCAACTTTGTGTTTCCCACTGTCCATTTTCTTTCCCGGGAAGCGAAGCTACTTCTCAGGTTTTTCGATCACTAAAAAAAAGGTAAAGGAAGGAACGACAGATTCAAAAAGCTCTTTCTGCCCTGTATCCAACAGCCTTCGCTCTCTTGTTCAGCAGGGAGGTGGAACTACATTGTGCCACAATTGATGGCTGCACTCACAGCCTGTTGCTTCTTCAACAGGACCTAGACACAAGTGATCTGTGTAAGAGGCTTCTGTGATGATCCCACAGGGCTTCAGTTCCAGTCCCTTTATCTTCACTACCTTCCAAGTTACTGATCCGCTGCTGCTGGAACTCTTTCTCTTGCTTCAGTCGATTCACAGACTGAGTGAGCAATTCGACGATCTGAGGGGAAGGGCAAGAACAGATTGTGCATAGAAATAAATCAGATTGGGAAAGAATATAGTTAGCAAGCCAGTTCAACTTCAGAAGCTGGAAATACAGGGAGGTCTGGAAAGAAAAACCTAAATTCTGATCCCGACAGATGGGATCCTTCTGTCCTCCTCTTACAGAGCGGATGGATACAGTAAGAAACAACTCTTGGGGTTCTAGAAGACATGGCAGAACTCCATAAAGAAGAAAGTCTGCACATATAAAGTAATTCTGTCCCCAAGACAGATCTGGTGTCCCAGCACTTCATAAAGCTGAAGACCAACAGTTGGGGAAAGCTGCACAAGAACCAGCTACAAAGATTATGATAAGCTGCTATAAAGATTATGATAAGGAGATCCAAATCCGAGATTCAGTCTCCATCGTAGAAACTGTGCTGGCAGGGAGTGGGAAAGCTGCAAAAAACACATACTTTCAGCCTGGGAAGGAGAAAATATCATCAACACAGAGGCCTTTCTAACTATTTTTATGAGCAGTGTTCACCCACGCAGGAAGGTGGGGCTTTCAAACATTATATGATGAAAGAAAAATATGTACAATACAAAGTCTTATAGGATGGATGGGCACATGGTGCAACTATGCTAGGAAAACTCACTCTTAACAGAGAGGCAATCTCACCAGAGGCTTAAATTACCTTGGTTTGGGAATGTAGCTGACTGGAGATGGCTGCTAGCTTCTCTGCTGCCATGTTGCAGTGTGGCAGACCTAGGCAGGTAGGACATCGCTGCTGGGTTCCAAGCAGATGTTCATCAAACATAGCGTTCTCAGTGCTTATTCTGTCAAGCTGCAAATCCACTAAGAGATCAAAAGTAACAGACATTACCAGGGGCTGCAAAGAAAGAAACCCACCTGGGTCTGCCACATTGTTAAACTTGCCTCAGCTAGCACACAAGGCAGGGAACTTGGAGAAAGGCCAAGGTGCAGGTTTAGAAACAGAAATTAGATTCTTCCATATCCCACTTGAATGATATAATCACACAGTCATTAGATAAGGCAGGCCTCTACTAAGATTATCAGTGCAGTTACCAGTAAGAATGGTTTGAAAGAACCATTGATATGCTGCTACATGGGAATACTAATAGCTTGGATGTCAGACCCAGGGGGCATCAGCAACTCTTGGAAAACATGAACAGAAATTTATCCATCGAAAACAATTACATAAGGAACATCTGTGCAACAAAAGAGATTTGCCTTTACTTCTGAAATACTCTGGCTATGGAAGTTAGACATGCTGTTACCTTTACAGGGGATATTGGTCATGTTGAGACGCTGCTGTAAAAAAGAAGAGGGAAAATAATTGTTTGCTGAGAGATGACAGCTGCAACACAGGAAGGGGTGGTGGACATCTTACGCGGCCTGCTTTAAACTCATGACAACACGTGTTAGCCTCCGAGGAGGAAACAAAAACAGCTTCTCCGGCTCATCCCAAAAGTCCACCTGATTCAGAGCCCTGCCTCCTACAACGCCCAACAGCCCGAGCCCGGGGAAGACGGTGAGAAGGGGGCTGAGAGATGACAGCTGCAACACAGGAAGGGGTGGTGGACATCTTACGCGGCCTGCTTTAAACTCATGACAACACGTGTTAGCCTCCGAGGAGGAAACAAAAACAGCTTCTCCGGCTCATCCCAAAAGTCCACCTGATTCAGAGCCCTGCCTCCTACAACGCCCAACAGCCCGAGCCCGGGGAAGACGGTGAGAAGGGGGCAC